TTTCCTCATGGAATGTAAATACAAGTCTCTAGATGGCAGCCTTCAACGCCTTTGGAAAGCGGTCTCTATGCCCCTCCGCCACCCCCATCCACTCCCACCCCCACCTCTGCCGCTTGGCATGTCGTATCACCTCCGAGATGCCCTCGCCTGTGGTGTCGGACTTCGCTGCTGTCCAGGAATCCGAGTTTAAAGTGTTTATCACAGTGCCTGGTATTCGCTGGAAGCTACCTAGGTGTTTGCTTGGGCAAAAGAGGAAGTAAAGGACGAGATCAACGCTAAGCCCCTGCCAGGGCGAGGCGAGGCAGTGCGGGCAGCGGTGAGACACCATATCCTGCGAGCAGCAGCCGCTTGCGCTGTCGGGGTGAACTCTCCTCGCCAAGCACAGAGCGCAAAAGCCACCTGCCCAGCTGGGGAGAACGCGACCAGAGGCGCCCCAGCCTCAAGTTACCCCCGAGGGGAAGAAATACAATGTCAGGTTCTTAAATTTAGCAAAGGGCTGAGTCTAAGAGCGAAGAATTAGAGGCAAAGTGACAGGAGACTGTAGGAGACACAAACCCTGGGAAACGTGCTGCTTCCGCCAGGTTGCATCTAAGGTGGTGTCCCTAGCCTACCCCAAGTGCGGACCCCAGGCTGGGCTGGAAATATTAATGGTGGAACTCTCCGACTGGCAGGGGCTGTGGGGTCCGCTGAGGGTGGAACCGGAGGGAGCCAAGGTCTTTTCTGCCCCGCATTCTCGCTCAGGTGCAGTCCAGGTGTGAGTGGGGGTTAAGCACATCTTCCTCGTTCATGTTCCACCCCTCACGCCAGCAACCCTAGACACCCGCCAGAGATGAACGAGAAGTAGGGGTACTTTGCCCTAGTCCTCCTTCTCCAGCCTTCAGCCCTACCTTGGAACCCGTCTCCCCACAAGGCGCGAAACCTCTCCAGGCTGCGTTCACCGACAGTCCGGCTCCTGGCTGCCCCCGAGCCGGGCAGAGATCATTTCCCAGTCCCGGTTCCCCAGAGGCGAGCATCCGGTGCGCAGGCCCCACCCAGCATCGCGCCCCTTGGGACAATTAATACGGACGTGATCGCCCAAGAGAAGCTCTACCCTGGGCCCGAATTATTTGCAGTGCGGCGACCCCAGTGGCCCCGCGCAAACCAAAGCACCCCGGAGCAAGTTCTCGAGCGACCTGGAGCGACCGCTGAATGGAGTTTGAGGGACACTGGGTTGGGCATAGAGAGAAGCGGGTCTTACCTCGGTACGGAGAGCAGGGAGTTGCCATCCATTGTTGACCCGCACGTAGGGACGAAAGGCGGAAAGGGGGCGAAGATTAGAAGTCTGCGGTGAGAGGACCCAGCTCCTGGAGCGCGGGTACCACGCACAGGGACAGAGGTGCGCTGGCTGCGCCCGCGGACACGCGCTCCTCCCTGGTCGGGAAGCGCTGCGCGCTCGATGTCCCCTCCTGCCGTCTTTCCCAATCTTATGAGAGAGCGGTGCCAACGCCTCGACCTCTTGCCCGGCTCCTGCCCGGCTCACCCTGGCCTGTTACCCGATGCTTTCTCTCAGGTCTGGCTGCCCATTCCGAGGCACAAGGGCCGAGGTGACTCCGACAGAATTTCACTCTCCCCGCCCCGCGGTCCGGTCCCCTCCCCTCCCTTTCTCTTTGGCTTACAGCTGATCTGAGCCCTGAAGTTGTTCACCCACTTCGCCACATTCGCGCTCTCACTCCAGGCTGTTGCACACTCCCCTCTCCCCTCCAGCCATGCACCACTCCTTCCGCTGCCTGGTCTGATTTTACTTTCTTCTGACATGCAATTGTCGATCACGATCACTCAGAGCAATGCTGCCAACTCTGTTGCCTGTACTGGGGCTTTCTCTTCTGTTTTTGGTTCTCACATTTCTTCATCTAACTCATTTGGCTTCCTCATGACTTAGTCATCTCCCGTTAGAAACCTGTGTGCGTAAGAAGAGTGGAGTTAGGAGGCATCTCACTCCCTGACCCCAAATATATTACAAAGTTGTAATAATCAAAGCAACATGGTACTGGCCCAAAAACAGACATGCAGATCAATGGAAAAGAATAGAGACGCCCAAAATAAACCCCTAAACACACAGCGGACTGATTTTCCAGGAACAGTGCTGATCAGTCCCAGTGGGGAGAGGGGAGACTTCTTCGCAAATGATGCTGGAAAAACTGGGTATTCACCTGCAGAAAGATGAAACTGGAGCTCTATCTCTCACCACTAACAAAAGTCAACTCAAAATGGATAAAAGATCAAAACCTAAGCTGTCAAACTATAAAACTACTGATGGAAAACATAGGGGTAAACTCTTTTTTTTTTTCTTTTCTTTCTTTCTTTTATTTTTGGAGAGGTTTTTTTCATATAGGGCACGTGCGCTCGCCAGACAGACAGAGAGAGACATAGAGACAGAAAGCGAGAAATCACCCCCCAGGGGGGATGGTCATGCCACAATCCCTTCTCCATTCTCCTCTCGGGATCTTGGGCACGCACGCACGCACACGCGCCCGGCATGAGTTTTAAGCCAAAGGGTCTGGGACGCGAACTGCGGTCGACTACGTGGGAGTCCAGCGACATAGCCATTATGCTAACTGCTGGTTCCCGACATAGGGGTAAACTCTTGGAGACATCGAAGTAGACAAAGACTTCTTCAATAAGACCCTTAAAGTATAGGCAATAATCCCCAAAATAGACACATGGGATTACATCAGGTTAAAAGCTTCAGCAGAGCAAAACAAACAATAATTAAGAGTGAATCAACAACCCTCAGAATGGGAAAATATATTGGGTCATCAAGAAAGTCATGACACATTTTTGTGCATAGGAAAATTCGTCATGGTTTTTCCCATAACCCAATATTTGCAAACTGTGCCTCAGATAAGGGAATGATAGCCAGAATATACAGGGAACTCAAACAGTTTATCCCTTTCCCCCAAAAAATATCAACCCAATTAAAAGATGGGTAAGTGAGCTGAACAGATAACTCTCTCAGGAAGACATATAAACAGCTGAAAAGCATATGGGGAAAAAAATGCTCAACATCACTTACCATAAGGGAGATGTAAATCAAAACCATACCACTTAACTCCAGTCAGAAAGCTAAGATTTAAAAAAAAGAGTGATAAGTGCTATGGAGAAAAGGGAACTCTCCTCCACTGTTGACGGGAATGTAAATTAGTATAGCCACTGACGAGAACAATATGGAAATTCCTCAAAAACCTACAAATGAACTACCATATGATCCAGCAATTCCACACATAGGTATCCACCCAAAGGATAGGAATCCTTTCAGCTGGAAAAACACTTGCACATCCATGTCTATTGTGTCATTATTCACAATTGCTAAGACATGGTACCAACCCAAATGTCCATGAACAAATGAATGGATTGAAAAAGTGTGCACAAATACACTACAGAATATTATTAGCCATAAAAAAAATTAGATCCTGGCATTTGATAGAAAGTGAACAAAAATTGAAGATTTACTGCTAAGTGAAGCAAGCCAGGCTATGAAAGAGAGATAGTGTATGTCCTCATTCAATGTATAATGAATGTCTGCACTCTATGGCAGAAACTGAAAGACTGGAAGGTATAAAGACATGGAGAGCAACTGTGGATACTACAGACAGTGTGAGAAGAGGGTGTTAAATGGGGAGAATGAAAGAGAGAGAACCAAAGGGAAAAAGAAAGAAGCAAAGCATTTAAGGGACAAAAAAAAGGAAAATTATCTGTTGATGGTAATATGTATGGTAATATTTTTGACTATATACCTTGTATTTAGTACAGGAAAAATCATTTGATATGCAGTAATGATACACAGTGATTTAACATAAAAAATGAAATACTAAATTTTTAAGAATTAAAATAATATATTTTTTTAAATGGACAGTGGTGATCCACTGAGGCCAGCACTCCAGATCTGGAAGGAAGAACTGTCATAAATGCTTCCAGTTGCCTGTTCAGTATCTCCTTGAGCAAACAATGCCAGTTGTTTTAGGAAGAAAGAGATCGATACTTGCAAATGTCTGTGAAGATGAGGGTACTGTTGATTTTGCTTTTAAAAATGATTCTAATTAAGACTTAAGTTGAACTGTTTATAAATGGGAAGATAAATTACTTTTTTCTACTCCTAGCAAATACAAGATAAAACCCTGGGGGTTGTCTATGAGCCTGTGTTTTCACATTCACAGAGCAGTAATGAGGCTCCTTTCCCTTATACATTTAGGGTAGTGCCACAGTAGTCAGAGTGGATAGTCAAAGCTTTCACCATCATCACTGAAGGTCACACAGCATGCAGTAATGACGTACTCCTTCTACTGCCACCACTCCTAGCTGGAGACAGGCCAGCAAAGGCTTAATGAGGAGCCTGAACTCCCACCCTGCCCAGAAGTAATGAGGACTTCTCTCTTCAAGTGTCAATTGAAACCTAGACTTTTACTTCAACCTGGTGATGATGAGACCACACTGCCTCACCTCCTTTGCCCTACAGGATCAGTGACAAGAGAAGCCACCTAAAAATGTTGTTTAAATAAGACTCAGACTTTTAACATAATACCCCAAATGGACAGGCTCTAATACTGAGATGACAGATGTTAAAATTATCTGTTGAAGACTTATAAGCTTCCATGATAAAAAATAATTCAGTGTGAACCAGCAGGTGGCACAGAAGTTAAGTCAGCTGGTTCTCCACACATGGTTGACAGCATATATTGTTTGATCCCTGACTCAGTGGCTCAGAAATCATTCCAGGTGTATGTGTATACTTACTCAAAGTCCTGAGAAAAGAATGGAGGAGAAGGGAGTGCAATATAACCATTACTCTTGGGGGATGATTCCTCACTATCCTTCTCTCTCTCTGGCAAGTGCACATGCCATATAGCAAAATTTTTAAAAAGTAATAAATAGAGAACAAAAGAAAAGAAAAATTTTCTTTCTTTTCTTTCCTTTCTATTTTCTTTCTTTCTTTGTTTTTTGGTTTTTTTTTTTTTTGAGAGGTTTTGCTATAAGGCATGTGTGCTTGCCAGAAAAGCAGAGAGACAGAGATAGAAAGTGAGAAATCATCCCCCAGGCCATGCTGCAGTCCCTTCTCCTCCATTCCCCTCTTGGGATCTTGGGCACGAACGCAAGCACATGCGCCCAACGTGAGTTTAAGTCACCAGGTCTGGGACTCGAACCACGGTCAACTACATGGGAGTTCAGCAACATAGCCATTACACTAACTGCTGGTCCCAGAAAAGAAAAAAGAATCAACAATAATCCTCAAGGAAAAAAATCTCAGCAAATAAAAATAAAATTTAAGATGAAAAACCAAATGGAGATTTTTTAGGAGTGAAAAATACAGCAAACAAAATAGAATACTAATTGTTTTAGCAGTAGGAGAAAAACATCACCTTACTTACAGGGAAAAATATTCAAAAAACAACACATTTCTCATCAGTAGCCATGGAAGCCATAGTAAGTGACACAACATTTTTCAAGTGCTGAAAAACAGAGCTACCAACACAGGATCCTATACCCAGTGAAAATATTTTTCATACAAAAAGGTTAAAATGATACAGAATTCTAGTAAACCTCTCCTAAAAGAATGATTAAAACCATAGAAAAGAAATCTTAGGGGACCAGCATTGGCGTAATGTCTATGTTGCTGGACTCCCATGTAATTGATCATGGTTTAAGTCCTGGACATGGTGTCTTAAACTCACACTGGGTGCATGTGCATGTGTGCCCAAGATCCCAAGAGGAGAATGGAGGAGGAGGAATTGTGGCGTGGCCATCCTCCCTGGAGGGTGATTTATTGTTTTCTGTCTCTCTATCTCTCTCTGACTTTCTGGTGAGCACACGTGCCCTATAGCAAAAACCTCTTAAAAAAAAAAAAGAAAAAGAAAGGGAATCTTAGAACAACAGGAAAAAGTATATGGTAAGCAATAATATGGTAAATAAAATAACATTTTCTTCTTCTCCTGAGTTTTCTAAATTATATTTAAAAATAAAAACAGATATGATTAAATTGCCTTATATGCTTCTCAGTTTATGTAACGTAAACATTTAAGACTATTAATTTTAAAGGAACATGTGTATAGGCACATAAGAATGGTGGCAAAGTTTACATACTTCTGGAAAGTTGATAATACCAGTAGACAACAAGGTATGTGCACATGCATGTGTGCATGTGTGCATGTGTGTATGTTTGTATAAATATGTATGCATTATTTGTTGAGTAATTGCTAAAAAACTATGCAAACAGATATGCCCCAACAATATAGACAAATAAAAGTAAAAAAAAAAATTAAGTATCCCACAGAAAGAAAAGAGGAAATAGCAACCAAAAGGAGAGAAAACAAAGAAACTAAAAACACCAGTTTTGATCCTAATATATTAATAATTACACTACATATAAATGGTCTAAATATAACAACTCAAAGACAGAGATTATCAGTGTAGATTAAAAACATGACTCAATTATATATGATCTACAAGGAACATTTCAAATATGACTATATACAAAGGTTGAAAGTAAAACTGTGGGAAAAAAGTTCTGTAATACAAACATTATTCAAAAGAAGGCTTGTGTGGCCATATTAATACTTGATATAGAAGACCTCAGAGCAAATAAAATTGCCAGAAGCAGATAGGGAGACTATGAAATGATACTCTACAAAGAAGACATAGCAATGTTAAATGTATACATGTAAAATAAGAATACAAAACACATGAAGCAACACACTTATAGAACTGAAAGTAGAAATAGACAAATCCAAAATTA